ATATTTACGTTGAGATCCACAAAACGTCTTTCGGCTTCCTCACGGATTTGGGAATAGTTTTGATAAATCTCATCAATGTATTCTGCAGTAGTATGAAAATATGGCTGGCGGGTTACAATTGTGAAAATACCTCGAAAGAGGTAAGAACAAATTTCATAAAAATAACAACAATACACCAATTGGATACTAAAGATTTCATATTTTTAGGCAAACAAAATAAAAGAAATTATCCACGCGTCCACTGTGTACGAATTCGACACCGAAATGAACGATGAGGTAAAAAAAAAAACAGTTTATCGTGTTTACATGAAAATTTCTTTTGTTTACCTTTCACAGGTTCTCCAATTTTCATTACAAATATCGCTAAACCACCCCGGATGTTTCAAGTCTAATTTATTTCAATTGAGCTATGTCTACATACGGAGAGTTAGTGAACTTCTTTGCTAGTAAAAAATAATGAATACAGTGAGTCCTCGAGTTATGTGAATTTACAGATACGCGATACTTCTTTTCGTAAAGAAATTTAAACTGTATACTTACTTTATTGTAAAAAAAACCGAAATATCAGTCCTGTCTCACCCCATTTTGTATAATTCAATTTACACGGTATTAATCATGTAAGTTGAGGACTCACTGTATTATTTTTCATTGTCAGAGTTGAGCACATTTTACTAAAGGCTGACAAACACAAATTTTAAATTGATTCATAAACTAATATTCGTTTGTAAATTAAAATCTATTAACGAATATATTAGTTGGTTAATAATAAAATTCGTTCAGCTCTGTTCCTTCCAAACAAATGCACCAGTTGTTAAAACCATCCGTGATTCTTCCAGCACATAAGCTTCGTGGTATCGTACCTGGTCATTATGATACAATGGGGGCACTCTTATCAGTCGGAGAAACCACGTCTGATAAAAAACTGGACCAACTATAACTCGAAATAATCCTTTCTGGACTGTTAAATTCAGTCTAAGAACGTATTTAATCTGAGAACCGAAGAGGATGTGTGTTCGAGTGATGTACAACGATCTATATTTTTTAATATTTTGTAATCACATTACATGGAAGTGCGTTTTCGATTTTATACGAATATTGTACGAAATGAATGTTTATTACTATTTAATATACCTTTAAAAATGGTTAGTTCATCCACGCTATTAATATCGGTCGATATTCTCAAGCACACTTTTAAAGTGAACGATGTTTTCCAAATGTTACGTATAATCCATTCGTCACTCGCGTCTTTCTCAATCATCATAATCGTCTGGAAGTTTCAATCAAACGAATTGCCTTCTTATAGCTACCCGAGCTTAGACTCCATTGTAAATTTTTTATTTCGATACTGATGACCTTTCAGTGCAAGGAAGGAACCGAACGCGACAATATCACAAATTTTTAATGAGCAAAACTTTGACGGACACGTTTTGAAGAAAAGAATTTATTGAAGAAGAATGATCTCCCGCCTATAATATATTAATGAACAATCAGATACAACGATGAAACATTGCCAATACGTGCTTCGACAGTGCAGTTGTGTCGCTCGATGAGTAAAAAGCTCGTTCGAGTCTCGTCCAGCATAACTGTGAAGTTAGTTAAATCATTTGCATGCATACATTAATGAATAATCAGATACTATAATAAAACATTATCGGCACATGCTTCGACGGTGCAGTTGTCTCTTGTCAAATGGACCTTTATCGATATTTAAATTATAGAATTTGTATGTACGTTCAGCGCAAATAGAGAAAAATAGGAACAAGGCCAGACGATGAATAAAAACACTTTTAAAGACGTTTCAAGAGTGATAACTGCGATAAACTCCATTGTAGGACTACGGAACTTTAAGAATCCTGCAAACAAACAAAAATATCTCTGCACCTGGATCTATAACATCTCGGTTCTAGGCATCTATAGTATAGCCACATTAGTTTTGGATTTTATATACGTCCAACAGGCTACGTTTCGCGTGCAGGTTGTGATATACGTAGTCGGGGCGGTAGCATATATTCTGAGTTTCGCGTTTCTAATAATCGCAAATTGGTATTACTCCAAGGTAAGTCACAAAAGTGTTATGTCAACCATCACAGCGAAATTCTACACTTTTGAATCGATAGAGAGCCGTTTGAATAAAATTTTTGTTTTGGACTGTTCTACTTGTCGAGAGAATAAAAAAAGTCGTATCTTAAGTGTAAATTCACTTAAAGTATTCGAGGATGTCATAGCTTTTCAAACTTATATTTTGTTCGTACCATAAAATAAATAAGCAAAGATATATTCCTTCACAATTTATAACAAAAATCGTTTAATAATTAACAAAAGTATATCGTCGAGTGTCAGCTGTCAAGAACAATGACCTTACACGTCTACATTATTTCGTTTTCCTTTCAGGACACGTTGGCGCTCAGAGGGAAGATCACCAAACTGGACGAGAGCTTCAAAAGTCTAGGATCGGTGGAGAATAATTGCAATTTATTATATCGATTAATAATAATTGCAATCGTTTGGATCTGCAACGCGATACTACAGCTCGGATTGTACATAAACTGGTTGTTGCAACAGCAGATGGGAGTACCCAGTTTATATTACATCATTACGTACATTTATAGAAACAACACTGGTACAATCATCCTTTATGACTACTTATTACATGTAAAGTACGTTTCTTAAGTCTTCCTCTTCTGAGTATACGCATAAGAAAAACTATCGCTCAGAGTTCGAGAAATCTAATTCTCCGGAGAAGACTCTCGAGCGTTTCAGTAGTTTAATATGACTCTTTAACAACTATGGTAAAAATATAGACAATGTTTCTCAGCTGGCTGGAATTGAAATTCAAGCAAACGAACGATCTTTTGAAAACGACCCTCGTGGACGATCATCGAATCGAGACGGAAGAGTCGAAATACTCGATTAAACCTACGAGAAACCGCCATCAACAGTTTCTCAAAAGTTTCAATAAATACGCGCGCGACAATAAGTCTCATTTTCGACGGTTGCGAATTTTTCCACCGACTCACGCTTCGAATTTGAAGCAGGAATCGCAGACTGCGAAGAAAGTAAATTTACTGCAGCAAATTAGGTAATTCCTTCCTTTATTTAGTTTCGACTCTCGTTCAGTTAAAGCTAGTTTATTGTCTGTTCTGTTAATTATTACGCTTTGATCACCCCTCTCGTTTTGTCGCATTGTAATTACCAATGAAAAGTAAGATAAGAATCATCACTGATGTTTCACACCCTTTCATTCCGCGTAATTGGTAAAAAACGTTATTTTTATTTCTAACTGTTTCTCATTTTCCAAGGGTTATGCACCTACAACTGTGCAGGAACGCGAAAATGCTGAACAAAGTGTTTAACACGCAAGTGATGGTACTGTCATACACCGCTTTGTTGAACGTCTCCATGATTCTGTACGCTACGTACATTGAAATCTGCCTAGGGCCTGCCGGCTCCCTGATAAATTTCGTGATGGGTTTCTTAAAATCATTGTCTCTTGTCATTACATTGGCTACGACGAGCCACGACTGTGAACGTGCCGCCAGAGAGGTGAAAACTAATCATCATTCGATATCAATTTTACATTTCGTATAAAATCTATTATTATTTAGTACAATATTCGCGCTCTCGTTTGATCTGTGAAGCCATTCTGACCGATTTTTAGGCAAACAAAATAAGAGAGACTATCCACGGATTCTCTATGCACGATTTGGACAGCGAAATGAAAGATGAGGTAGGACAAAGATACTGTGTTCATAAAGATAATCGACTTTAGAATTAATAATCGACTCTGGAAAGTGCATTTCCTTGTTTCCGTAGATCTTCCAATTCTCTTTGCAAATATCCCTCTGCCAGTTCGGAACAGCGAAGCGCAATTCCTTTCTACTGAATTACGTCTTCATGCAAAAGGTTAGCGGATCTCTATGCTCCTGATAAATATAGAATATTATTTTTTATATAATCCCCTTTCTTTCAGTTCGTAAGCTTCGTAGTGACGTACCTGGTCGTTATGATACAATTCGGGCAATACTACTACTATACCTACATCAAACCGAAGAATATAGATCCAATGTTCCAAAACGAGACAGCTTCGATCTGAAATATCCCTTTCTAAAAAGTTGAATTCGATTATGTAATCCAAGAATTTAAGAGGAGATATATCGATGTATACAATAGTACTGTACGTCATCGTTTAGTGTTTCTGAGAAAAACAGGTTTAAAGATCCAATGATACTTTAAAATTGAATAAATAATTTTGACATTATGCCTTACACCGCTTGACTCAAACTTAATCTCGTTTACCAATAAATTCGACACTCCGATTTAACTGAATTGAAATTTGGCCCAGTAGAGATCAATTAGACAGCTTAGTAAAAAGAATTATTGCATTAATTTTTTTAGACTGAGCAATAATGGTTCCAAGTTATTATTAGTCCATTCGATACTACTTGAAAATAATAACATAACAATATGTGCCCAACATTCATTAAGTGAACGCGTTCTTCTTCTGCTATTATTAAAAGTATAATACGTTCAAATGAGTTAACGATAATGCATGGGTTTATTACACTTCACAGAAAGTTACTTAAATTTCAATGTCAGTAGATCGTAGATCTTATTCTTGTGACGTTTTCAACGCATTGTATTCCAACGATATCGTTTAAACTTAATTTTGCACCCATTTTCAAAGAACAACCGCGTATCGAGCTCTCTATTCTCCGATCCATCGTCTTAGATAATCCGGTAATAAGTGTCGTGCTGTGTACTAGAATATTAATCGTCAAATTGCTGACTGATAGAAACGTCATTGTGCAGGTACTCATAATAATTTCATCGTCGACGACGAGATCGACCCGGATGAGTCGCCAGTTCCTACTCGCCCATCAATCGACGCTGTTCAAGTACTACGCAAGGTATTAATTTGCTGAATAACGGACACGATAACCATCTGCCTCGATGCCGGATAGCGAAACGTCGTGGATAGTCGCGTTTCATTTCACTCCAGAATGTCCGAGCCGAAAACTATCAGACACGCCATTAGACCGTTTCTCGTGATAAATTTTGTTACTGGTTTGGGATGTTACGAGCTAAAGGAGAAACAACGGTTTAAGAACTGGATCAATATCGCGTATCCTACGAGCTTCGTGATCACTTTCAACTTTCTAGTCTACTACACAAACTCGTACTTCTGCAACTACCTGTACGATATATTCGGCCTTTATAAATCAATATTCTGGATGATCTTCTACTGCCACATGATCCTGATGACCTTGCTGATAATTACAGCAAACATGAAAATACAGGTACACGATCCTCCATTACTTATATTCGCGTTGAAGTATGCGCCATGCCTGTACAACGTATTTATCATTGTATTAAAAATCTTTTTATTGATCTCGTGACCAGACGTTTCGGGCCACCATCCAGCTTGTCGAAACGTGCGATCGACGAATGGAAACCATAGGGCTGCCGAAACGATATCGTATGCTTTACAAACGTCAGATTCGTATGTACGGAATCCTTGTGCTAATTCTTCTGGGATCCTTGGCGACGACTTACTGGTGGCAAATGGGGATAATCGCGCCGTCGATGGTGAAATTTTTAATCGCAGCCTCTCTGTCCATTCCAGTGGCCCTCATAGGAGTCTCCAATCTGTCTTTCATCTTCTGGATCAGGTACGAGGTTCAAGTTAAACGTCCGAAACATGAAATCGATTATAAAGTACAAAATGAACAGTTACACGAGAATGAAGTTCCATCAACTGAACAATCTGCTCCGAGCCATGTTGGCCAACACGCCAAACTCACCGATGCACAAGAGAATCGTCAAGATGATACACGATTACGACGGGAAGACGTTCAAAAACGAATCGATCCGCGGTGTCAACAGAAACGCGAACATGATGAGGGCGGTAAAGTGAGATTCAGCGGTGAGCGGTGAACGACAAAGCGTTTCCGCTCTCTTGGCTTTCCAAATGTATCTTCCCTTTTTAGCTTGATCAAATATTTAAATCCCCGTTGCAGCGGTTTTCAATCAAAAACGGTACAAAGTTATTTTTAAAAGGTTTGAGAGTCGCACGAAGTTTACTTTGCCTTTCAAAAATAAATTATTTCCTATTCACGGGCACCGGTGACCGTCGCTTCAGCATACGAAACTTGCAAATTTTTGAATATTTAGCTCCCGTCCCGTTGTTTAATTTTGTTGTTAATTTTGTATTCTTCCATTTTGAACAAAGACAAATTCACCTGGAGCTGATCAAGATCTCGAGAATCATGAACGACTTCTACGGAATACAGGTCCTCCTGACGATGTTCATTTCCCTCCTCTTGATCACCTGCCTTTTGTACGTCACTTACAGAATCATATGGCTCACTTTACCCGCCGATCAGTTTCTGCAACATATAGGTCCTCTGCTCTTCTGGTTGGTCCTCTACATGTTGAAGGTGTTCATCACGAACAACGAGTGCACCAAAACGTCCGCCGAGGTATCCAATTCGTTTCTATTACAGAATTACTTAACTCTATTCAGATTACAATTTATATCGATCCATAATGTTTTATCTAATCTTTTTGTTATTTGTTAGATCCGTTTAAAAAATTGTTCTCCCAGCGATGTAAGTTATTGTTCGTGTCTTTGATTTTCCGTAGGCAGCTGACACTGGCGATCTAATTTGCGAGCTTTACGAGCCATCGACCACCAAAGGATTTCGAGCAGAGGTAAGCTTTCACAATTTTAATTAATAATATTAACAATTTGACGTTGATCGACACTTAACACATTGACAACCTTTTGGAGAGGTTTTATTTAACAATATCGTATAATTATATTCAAAGGAATATTACTGAATACATTGATAACCTTCAGGAACTCGTCCAACGTCTGAATGTTTATAAAATGTTGAATTAAACAACTTCACGGAAACTTCAAAGTGTCAAGCGAGATACAATTGTTCTAGATTCGACACTTCACCCTGCAAATGATCCAGAACCCGTTAGTCTTTACAGCCTGCGGATTTTTTGACATGGATCACACATTTATCCAAGGAGTACATCAATCAAATCAATTGAAATCTAATTAAACCAGAATCCAATCTCGAAACATGTTACATTATCTCTATTTTGTTCAGGTTGTCGGAACGATCACCACGTATCTCGTGATTCTAATCCAGGTGGGTGATATTAGTCCATACGGTGACGGAAGCTCAACGGCGAATGCAACCAGTAATGCGACCGTATTGTCAATTGCAACCAAAAATATCTTTAATGATGTTAATAATTAAGGTAATTATAAAATATATAGTGTAAAAGTGTTAAAATATCGAGGAAATTAATTATATGTATAGAGTGTTGTATTTTAAAGTTTACTCGTAAGATAGACGATAAAACGCCCTTGAAAATGAATTTCGTTTCAAATCGATACCATAGTTAGTTAAAAAAAATACTGGCCAGTAACTATACAAATATTCTGCATACCAATTCAGTTTCACTTTCAATTAAATAAATAATTTTCAACCCAGTTTTATCGCACACCGGTCGTATAATCGAAAATAATTGCTGAAACTTCATTGGATATATAGCGTCAAAGTAAATTTCAAAATAAACATAGAAGATAATAAAAATTATAATAGCTGGTATAGTCATCGGATAGGGGATGAAATGCCCTTTAAAATGAGCGTTCGTACAAGTCGATAGCTCAATTAGTTCCGGAGATATGACAATTTTTGTTTCAAGTCGAGCGTCAAAGTAAATGTCAAAATAAACATAGAAGACAACATAAATAATAATTGTTTATATATTCATATGATAGGGGGTGAAATGCCCTTTAAAATGAGCGTTCGAACAAGTCGATAGCTCAATTGGTTCCGGAGATATAGCGATTTTAGTTTCAAGTCGATGCGGTGGCTAGTTCCGGAAATATAAGGGTTCGAAGCTTTGTTTACATTTCATTGCGCGCTCGCGAGCCAAAGAATTTCTACTACGGCCTCGGCAAGGTCGTTGACCGTACGTGCTCGTAGTACGTAGTGAATTCTTGGAAATACTACGCAACTGGGTCGCGTCAGTCACGACTCATGTGCGACAAGGAGGTACGACGCGTCAGACGGAGACAGAGATAGTGGACATCAAAAAATTACCCCTTCACATAAATTACGATATCTCGAAAACGAAAAGTCGGATCGACAAAAACCGAAAACCATTTCAAAGAGGAAGGTTTACCGCTTCTAACACTGGCTTAATAATTGATAAAACATTAGTAGTTTCGAAACTACACGCATGTAAAGTTTAACTATTTTTAGTACGCGTTAATAGGCTTTTCTAAGGCGGAAAGCGGAATTTGAAAAATTACCGTGAAATTTTTCGACAAAATTAAATAATTTCATATCGTTCTGGAGAAATTATTTTACAACGAGTTTCTTTTAACATTGCTCGACGTTTGAACCTTGTGCAACACAAGCGTCCACAGCTTCTCGGACACTCGCCCTAACAATTTTCCGCCAATTAGAACGTGGACAAGGATGATGCCTCAATTACACTATCCCGCTACACCCCATGCGATTCCAGATGGAGGCGTTAGCCCGTGAAATTCGGTAATCCTGAAACTCGATAGGTTGTAATTCGGCGAAGATCGTTCCTCCTTTGAAACGGTCCCTAACCGATTCTTAATTCGCGAAAATTATTCCGCTATGCAGCTCTAACGATCTAAACGGTATTCACGCTCGAACAGCGAACGAGAAACGGAACTAAAACTTGGTGTAAAATTTTTTTTAAATATCCACCCACGCGGACTCGTGCAATCTTGCGATTTATCTTCTCGACAGGGAGTACACGTTTGATCGCACGCGTGAAGAAATAAAAATTTTGACGAATCTGTGCATTATATTTTATTTATCAAAAATATTATTGCGATACCGTGACGACCACGCGGTTTCGTCGCATGACAACGCGATGGACGCACGACACGCGTTTACAACGAGTGTAACATTAATTGGGAATTAAGGGTGCGAACGACACTGGCCGTCAGGAGCCACCTGCTACTGTGGAACATTCACCGGGGAGGGGTAAGAAGAATTGATATATTGCACCCAAGGGAACAAAGAGTCTGTGTGCGGGCCAGTTTAGATGAGCGCAAGCATCCTTAATCCTCCCCCCTCTCGTTAACTAAAATTCGTAAGAGATACCGGCTTTATTGTCGATTAAATTATTCCAGTCACTGCAATTGCATCCCTGGTGCGGTAAGTGCATGTGTGCTGATAGAGATTTTCTATTTTCAATTGTTCAGGTTTACTAAATTGCAATCTTGTTTTTGAGTTTTCCATAATATATAGTAAAAATTAAACGCGATACTGTATTTAATAATTTACGCTCCATTAGTGCCGTACATGTTAAATAAACGGATAAAGTTTAAATGATAAACATTTATAAAATCTTGTGGGGAAGAAAATACTTAATTTTCCGAAACTGTTCCACAAAATTGCATTGAAGGTTCTAATCGCTTGTATTAACAAACATTTCTGAAATGCAAAAAATTATACTTGTCACTGGATTCATTGTCAATCGATATTCAAACATTTGTATCGGTGAAATGCTACTTTTAAATTAAATATTTATCCAGTAAAAGTAAAGAACTATTCGGCTAAAAGAACAGAAAGTAAGGCGAACTCAACGATTTTCCTGGCCAAAGCATATGGGTCGGATTAGAGATGGAGATTTTAGAGGAGTAAATGCAAACAGCTTGCTAGGATTCTAATAATCCGCAAACGTCGTTTATCATGTCGAAACGGATTTGCCCTAACAACATGGCCACTCCTACTCGAGGGTGTGGATATTCGATCATGTCGTATCCTCGCCGAACGTTTACCCCGTATGTTTATTGATATCAAATAGGGCGTGTTACGGTGCATCTCGCGTATTATGATTCAAAAAATAACATAAGAATGAAAAGATAACCAAACACGTCTGTATATTTAAAATCGACTATTACGATAGCACGTATGTACAGATTTGTATTTACAGGTGTATTGTTATTTATTACTGTTGCCTCTTTCCATACTTCAATTTATTTTTTAATTTCTTGGGATTTATTCCATACATCTTTAACCTTTCCGGATTTAACGAGGCAATACTGTCATCGGTTTCCCTCTGCTTAAAATCTTTACGCTTCATTTTGTTGAACTTCTTCTTCATTTTTCCTTCCACCTCCACCTTCTGTAAATGCTTGGAATTTGATTCATTCTGATTTCGATCATTGGCCTTTCTCTTTATCGAAGATTTTTTAGTTACAGTTTCTGTTTCCGAGCGTAATTTATTCCCCACGTTTAAACTCGTTTCTTGAATATTGTTAGTTTTATGTTTCTTCTTGGATGGCTGTTCACATTGTTCCTCAACTTGCTTTCGTTTTTCAGCTTTCGATTTTCTTTTTGACTCCTTCAATATCGCGTCTACATTATTTGGAATTTTCTCGTCATTTTCGTTATTCGCGAGTGCTTTATCATTAGTCTTAACATCGATAGGAACGTTATTAACTTCCTGTTTCTTTTTCTTCCTTCGACGCTTTTTCTTCGTTTCTGTATTTTCATCGTTAATAGTGGCGGCATTGTTCGCATTCTCGGGTTTATCCACCTCTTCATCCTCGGGATTACTGAAAAATATGAAATATATTACATTAAGTAATTTACATCAAATATAAAAAATATAACAATAAATTCTTTCCTTACGCGTATAAACTTCTAAGTGTCTTCATTTTGAGTGCTTCATTATTAGCTTTTTGCTTATACATTTGAACGTCATTTAATTCCGCATGTTTTGGTTTGTATTGAAGAGCTTTTTTTAAGGAACACCATTTGTTTAATTCTTTATCATCAGCCACGAGTATCTAATACAAAAATACATTTCTAAATATCATTATAAACAATTATTCGGCTCTAAACGTGATATTAAAATTAACCTCTTCGACACTCAAGCCATAATCATTTGGTACAACTTTCCTATACTTAAATCTACATGGTATATCTCCGATCATATCTTCGTAATCTAAGGAGTAGTATGTGTCAAAGTACTCCTTGTAAGATTTGTATTGTTTAGGATCAAATTTTGGCTTTTTTGTTGCTATGAGTTCAGCGAATTTTGATTTCCGCCTACGTCTTCGCTTCGTCGTACTTTCTACTTCATTCTGATCAATTTTTGATGGATCGTAATCCGCATCCATCTGAAATTATATAGATAAAATTATAGCATTTTACATGCAAGAAAAACAATGAAAAGCAATAAGTTACTGACATTAAAATCTGGATCCTCGCAGTGTGACCCTTTATATTCTTCTTTATCGTTCGTATCATAATTTTCTGCATTTGGATCGTAATTATCCCACGTGTCTTCAATTTCCAGTTCCTCATCAATATCCGGAAATTCAGGTTTAACATTTTCTTCGGGAGCTGCATAGTAATCATCGTTAAAAATTTCTATCATTTTTCGGTCGTATTCAGATGGATCAAAATCAGCATCCAAGCCAATATCATTCAATTTTATATCATCATTTCCTGCAATTATAATAATTTCAAAATATTTCTTCATTAAATTACATAGTATAATGTAGAAAGTAGATAACAAATGAAATTCTACCAGTAATCTCTTTTAACTTCATTAATTTCTCTTCAATTTCTTTCCTCTTCAATGCTTTTAATTGTTTCAGTTCTTCCTTCTTCTTTAGCTTCTCTTCTTCCTTTCTCATTTTCACTTCTGCTCTTTTCTGTGATCTCCGTGTATCTTTCCTTCGTATAGAATTTTCCATAGTACGAGGATATCTTTTAATAAATTCCTGATCTGGTTCTTCAAATCTAAAATTGTATTTATGTTCAAATTCCTCTTGCTTCTCTATATTTTTTTCATCCTCTGATAAATTTTCGTCGCTATCGTGAACTATATGCGCGTCATTTAAATCGAGACTTGAATATTCTTTATCTAAATATTTATTATTAAGCACGTAATCTCTTAAAAATTTCTCATTTGCATCCAAATTAGGATTGGACCAAAAATCACGCAGTGGTTTAAGCGCTTCTTGTTCTCTTTCGTTGATATTTGACTTTTGTCCTCTTAACCATTCTTTATAGTCTGCTTCTTCCTAAATATTCGAACATAAGTTCTATTTCGTACTTGAAAATCTAACTGAAAGTCTAACTGATAATAACTAAAAGTGACTTACTTTTTGTTTTTCGCTTTCAGACTTGGATTTTGGTTTTAACAACTCTACATTTTCCTCCTCCTCCTCTCCGTATAATACATCCTTAAAACTTTCTTTTAATTGTTTTTGTTCTTCTGCATATGTGAATTTATTGATTTCCCTTTTGTTCTTTTTTAACATATCCTCATCTTCGCCGTCACTGTATTTTCCTTCTCTGTCCACAATAATTTTGCGTTCATAATCTCTCAAATAGACAGCTTTCTCTTTCTTCGACTTAACAGTAGATTTCTTTTCGCTATGTAATTCCTGTGCCTTATTAGTATCGTCAAAAAATGTTACATTTTGTTCATAAATTTTTGGGTCCTTATTTTTCAAACAAGCTAAAGTTTTATAGAAATCTCTATCAAATTGCTCTACTACTTCCTGCAAAAATAGATGCAATTAAAATGCAATACAAAAACTTGTTACGCTTAGAAAATTATATGTGTACATTTTCTTCTTCCTCTGTTGAACTATCAGTATCAGAACTATCGTCTGATGTTGCATTTTCATTGATATCTCCATATTTTGTTTTCACTAAAATGCAAATATTTTCATTCAAAAACATTTTTTAATATGGTAAATAATAGAGATCCAAATTTAGCAGGTGTGCTCATATACATACATTTATTCAACTCCTCCCTTTGTCGCCAATTATCGTAATTTTTGGCATAGCCTGAGTTTATTTTTATTTCTCCATCCGAATCAGAATTATCTCCATTAAACAGCATGGACATGGTGTTAAATCATTCAATAGTTAAACAATCAACGACGTAAATATCGTGAGCAGATTTTTCAATTTTCAAAAATTCACACGACTTCTAATTGTATAAAAGAAATACCTTAGTTTTTATCAAATAAAAATTTGTAACTTTTGAAAAATAAACGTTCTTTCATTCTTTTCGTTGAATTACAAAATAGACTACAAAGGTTATAGCTCACAACTTACACGTGTGTTGTAACCCACATGTCATCTGTGTTGAATAGTGTTGAGTATCTTTTCGCATAAAACATTAATGCCATAAAATAATACTACATACACATTGTTAATACTTTTGACTTACTTTAATTGTATATAAACTATAAAGGGATTAAAATATAGTATTATTTTAATTCTACAAATTGATTTAGGTTATATAAAGTAATATGCTCATTGGTCATTTTTAAAAATGTTTAATTTATTTAAGAAATATCCTACACATAAAAAGAGTTGATGTTCTTTAAACATTTGACATAAATTTTGTACACAGATGCTCTCCTAGGTACATTAACGCCTATAAATAGGTATACAAATAATTTTTATTTATCGGTTAGTAAAGGTTAAAATACAGGGTACTTAAAAATAATTATATTTTATTTATTTAAAGTATCTTATTAAGAGATGCGGACAAATATACAATTTTCAGCCTCACGCGCAAACGATCATGTCACATATTTACACACTTGTTCATACGGTAGCTCTTTTTTAACAGACCTATCTTTTACAAGTTCTATATCTATACTATAATTTCCTATATGAAGTTTGTGCACTATTCCTTTCATGCCTTTGTATTTCCCCCACAGAATCATGACTTCTTTTCCAATTGCAGGTATTACTGTCTCTAAATATTCCTGATCAATCTTTACAACATGATTCTCAACTTCCTTGGGCGATTTTAATTTTACCTTCCCAACAAAGTTAGAGTTCTCCACAGACTGAATGACTCCTTTAGCTTTATAATATTTTTCACCAAGATTTTTTGTAATTATTTTCACCATTAAACCTTCCCTTAACCAACCTTCTACATTACTGTCATCATCTATGCGTTTAGATTTACGTTTTATTCCTTTATTTGTCAAACTTGTGTCTGGTTCTATATACTTATCACTTAATTTTTCTTGTTTTATACCAGAAATTATAGAACTTGATATAATGGTATTAGAACCTTCATCTTCAACCCTTTCCGATTTTATGACAATGGGAAGTAGCTTTGGTTTCTTGTTTATCTTCATTTCAAGAATTAGAGGTGCATCAGGATCTGTTCGCTTCAGTGGTTCTTTAAAAGTCTCCATTTGTTCATTGCCTTCTTGGTGACCCTTCTCTACTTGTTTTTCTATAAACTCCATCATACGTTCTTCATCATCTTTATCCATTTTTTGCTTCTTTGCTTTCTTTTCTTGAGCTGCCAATGTTTCTGGATCTCTGTCAATATATGTTACATACCAACCTATGAAAGACAGAAAAATAATTGAAATACAATTACAATCCATTGGAAATAGTCATGGGTATAGAATCATCAGATAAAATAAATATAACAACAATATTGATTACCCTTTTCTGTTTCATCGACAACGCATTGTCCAGAACGTCCGAGCCATTTAACAAATGCAGTCAAAGTAATCCAAATTGTAGCATTCATATGTATATGTCCTCTGTCTGAGATATATTCTTGATAAACACGATTAGCAGGCACACGTCTGGTGCCAAACTGTCTCTTTAATAAATTTAGATAACCATGCGAGAATTCCCTCGAAAATTGATCCATATAACGACTTGCATTGTCAGCAAACAGTAAAAGCTGTCGATGATGAGACTCTGACATAGTATGACACTTGAATCCATTTTCGTCCCTGCATTGTTTTTGACACATCTGACAATACCATCGTAATTTTTGCAAACCCTTAGCTTTAATTTTGTTTGCTATGTACTTTGGTGTTCCTACTTCGTGTTTACCCATTGTTAAAGAGACGCATGAACTGAGAAATCACTCCTTTAATGTTGATGAAATAGTACCTCAAATTAATTTTATTAAACAATAAATACTATCTCTTCAATTAATAACTTTACGTTACGAATCGTATATCGTAATTTAGCGACATTAAACTTTTTTCTTCTTCTTTCGACAAGACTGTATTACTGCCATTTAATTGTTCGTAATGTTTTTATTTCTAACCAAACTGTGTACACAGTGTGGCCAGATTTGTCATAATTGAGTGCATCGATGATCGACGGCGACACTAGTAACGACGAACTTCCACATGTTACTTTAGATCAGAACTTCACGCAACTTCGGGCAATCGATAAAAAAGACCCATGGCGAAATTTCAAATCGTTCTGAAAAAATTATTTTCGGTTGCGAGGGTCAATTGCAATCATTTTTGGTCAATAGACATACATTTTTCGTCTATAAGGAATTCATGATACGAAAATACTTTGAATAACAGATCTATTCTCTACTTTATCTGTGCCTAAATAATTAAATATCAACTGTCGACATAAATCTTTTTATCAACAGTGGCTATGATTCCAATCTATTAATTATTCTGTAAATAAAATGAAGTTACAATTAAAGTGTGGAAATACTTTTAAATATATCCTTAAAATAATGCAAACGTAAAATTATAAGATTGTACAATATAGAAACTGTTAAATGATTGACCAACAATTAGTCGAAATGAAGAGAAAGTTCGTTGCAAAGTGAAAGTAAAAAGTTCATGCTAACAGTAAGAAATTCTGAATGAATGGTATCTGTTAATAATCAGTGTTGTCTTTTAATAAGTAACCAAAAAGCATAGTATTATTCGAAGTTTCGAGATTATCTATGATATTTAAAATAAACTTTGCTCAAATAGTATATTTTCTGTCTATAAAAGGCCTGGCAAAAATACTGGACACGAGCAAAAATAGCGCGTGGCAAATTGTTAAATACGCGTGCGCGACCACGTATGATATTCGGTCACAACACAACTGCCAACAAACACTTTAGTGCCTTTCAGTAGTATTGATAAGTGTTAGTTTGTTTACTGCATTTATTACACTATGTCGTCCGGCGGCTGGGAATTAGTTGGAAGGAACAAAAAGGATAAAAGCAATGGAAAGATTAATAAACTCACTAAAACTGAAAAAAAGAAATTTATTGAAAATGCTCCAAAAGTAGAGGATTTTTGTAAGCTGTTACTTTTAACCTCAGTTAATCTTTTATTTTTAGTGAATATTGTTAATTAAAATTGTTACGATCAACAATCAGTATTGTTTAAATAAAAACACAATGCAAATATTTTTCTGGCACCAGAAAATGTTTAACATTGAGTTACGTTGTGGTTTAAAAGTCTATCACTGAAAGAATTTATACGTTTCAGTACCTCTGAGTCAAGTGAAGAGTTTGTACGATAATTTGGAAAACAAAGAAAATAAGAAATTGTCAAAGGAAAAAGAAAGTAAAACTAAAGAAAATGAAGAGAAGAAGAAGCAACAAAAACAACAACAATCAGAAAAAAAGAAACAAGAGCCTAAGGAGAAGCCTCCAAAATCTATAAAAGATGCATTAAATGCGGTATAAATACATACATTTTTAATATAATTTTTATCTAATTTGTGTAAAAATTTATCATTGGAGGTTCATTACCAACAGATTAATCCAGATGAGCTTAGTGATGTTTTGACTAGCGGTCAAACAATATTTCCAGAGGCACCATTAATTTGGCTAAAAAATCTTGCTGCATTTCTCAATGTAAAGTTACCTATTGACAAAGAAGATGCAATTTTCTCTGGGAAACCCAAAGATTATCCATTGAGTGTAGTACCTAAACCAATTTCTTCCACTTTAGAGAAAGCCATTGAGTTGGCAGGGAAAAGGACAGCACAACTTTTTTATGAAAATACTCTGACTGCAATGGCTACCGACATGGTAAGAAGATCAGCTGTTGTTGGCCACAAAATATTTTTACAACTTTTAGCATGTATTGACCCTGAAATGACTGTTGCTAACATTCCTAAACTAATCGCCGTGAGAAATTCCTATCAAAATAGAAAAACTATTGGATTATCTCTACTATGGGCTTTGTCACAAGCTGGTAGGGAAAACTTGGCTGTGGGTTTAAAAGTGTGGCACGAAGTAATGTCTCCCATGTTAGAAACAAAGAGTTACTCGAATTATGTAGCACAAATTCTTAATGATCTTGCTTTCAAGCATGAGAATTTCCATGATCTCAAACCAGAAATGTATCTTGACATTGTTGAAGATGTATATTCTGGAAAGCTTAATATACCTGTCACTGTAAGCAGAGAAATCGATAACAGTGTTGAAAGATTAAGAGTAAGTATTTAACATTTACGAATATTAGTAACTACTCCAAATTGTGAACTATAATATTTCTTGCATTCATTTTTCAGCTTATATTATTTAAAAATAAAAATATAAGTTACACAAAACTGTTTGAAATATTAATGGGTAAAGTTACACAAAAAGTACATGCAAACTATAGGGATGAATTAATTAAAGCTCTTGTAGCTTGTTTGACTACAGATCCTCTTTGTTTTTCTGTTTGGAGATCTCTTTATGCCAAGAATTTGTACCAGTCTCATCTAATTTTAACATACATCGGTAAGATTTAATAGCAGAAAATATGAACTTTCAGTTAACAAATTAAAAAAATTAAAACTTTATTTTTTAGATGCCAAATGGAGTATCTTACATACAGCTTTGGAAACAAAGTGTTTAAAAGAAACGTCTATAGTATTTCAGACAACTAATGAGAGGTGGAAAAAGGGCAAAGATGAAAGTCTTGCTGGTAGTTGCAGTAAAATATGCAAGGTAGGCACATAGAGAACATACTTTTAAGATCGGTATTTACATGCGAATACTTAAAAATTTTTAATTATTGCAATATAGCTGCTAATATGCATGGTATGCGAGCATTTGTTTAAAACTAAATTTTTATTTTGCTCTTTTATGAAGAAAACACATACAACGTTATTAGTAAATTATTAAAGTAAAACATCCCGTATTTTAGTTGGACATTAATCAATTAATTATTTTCAACTAATTAATTGATTAAACGATGCGATACAAAATTTAGTCGATTACTAAAATTCACGCCGAATGACGATTATATTAATCATTAATTGCTCACAACCTTTTTCTATGATACATTATTCTTATTGTCACTTGCGACAATCGTTGATTAAATTAATCAATCTAATGATTCATTATTCAATAAGAATAATGCAATTTTAGAAACATGAATGATTAATTCATTTTCGTGAGATCCATTTTGATTATCATGAATGATTAATAATTCGTTACAATCGCAGTCGTCAATCTTTACTTCGATTAAAATTTCATTAAACGCTATCCTGTACGGAGTTCATATCCAAAATTTTTTTAAATATCCCGCGTCTTGCTTGCTCGTAACGTTCTATGCTTCGTGTGCGCGCAACGACATTTAACAGAGTTACAATTTTCACGGAACGTGTAAGTTGCTTCTTGACTGATTGTGAAAAGGATTATTTGATCACGCATACAATTTTTAGTAACATCTATCGAAACGTTTATGTGGACATTGAACTCTCTATTGGAAACATTGCTTTCGAACATCTCGATAAATTCAAATCTCAGTTATAGCTTAGGTTAGGTAAGCTTGTTTTTTCGGGAGTAGCTATCGATCGCATATTGTCCCCTTTACACTACCAGTGACGACATTCATCGTTCATCGTCATCATAATTCTTTTTCAACGACAAATACGTATTTAAAATAATTGAAATAGAATAATTTAGAACACATACACCTACCGCATTGATTTCAGAGGTAAGAAATACGTATTCGCGAATCAGTAAATGTGTAAATTCATTTATTTAAATCGACGACGTAATAGTTTTCATAGTATTTATGGCAACCTTTAGTCCTTAAATTTGTTCTTAATGGAAACATTGTCAATGTTTTAAGCTATAAATAAATTGTCGCAGCGGTACATAGGTTTTTGTCAATATTATTTGACTGCTTTGCAGATTCTACTAGTGAAAATGACAGCTTCATCCAATAAGAAATTTCCCTGGGGAAAGGGAATTATTTTATTATTACTTCTGACTGGTGCTATTGTAGGTTACGATGTTTACCAACACGATAATTTTAAAGGTGACATAGAAAAGAAATATTTTTCTTGTTTAAACTGATTATTATTTAATAATAAATTATTAATATTGCGTTTGCACAGAGTCCAGTACAGGTAAGTTCTTGAATAGAAGTGGATTATCTGCACACGGACAAAAAACATGGACTACGGTGCAAGGATATTCTTTCAAGACGCTTCAATTTATAGAAGCTAGTTCACCAGAATACTACAAAGCAGCCATTGAAACATGTAAACCTTATATCAAACTAGCAGGAGACTTTTATCTTGTGATGAAAAATGTTTCTCTCAAAATTTATGATAATGCTGTGACGTATGTTAGAAAGAATCAGCCTGTGGTTCTGCAGACAGTACGTATCAAAAATTTGATGCAAGACGTGTATACATAATGTAATTACTTTATGTGGTTCGTAGATTGAATATTATACTCCAGGAATGTTAGATGAAATTCGTTTGCGGAGTAATCAGGGACTGGAACTTTTGAAAATTTATTCAAACATGTTCATGGAAAAATTTATTGAATATTCAAGTGCAACACTACGATGGTTAGAGTACAATGTTTTTGTGTAAGTATGAAAATCTGTTAAAAATTTAAATCATTGCGAATAAACTATAAAAATCTGACAAGCACAAAGAATTTATTGTGGCTTTAAATAGTATGTTTTATAAATCTGTTATTCTTTTAGCGGAAAATTAAGTCCAGAAAATTTGCAAAATTATGCCTTAAAGGCAATTGATACCACACAAACTTTGGCAAGTCAAACTTATAATTGGGTGTATGAAAAGGTGCAAACACTATCGAAAGTTCCGTAAATGAAATGTTTTGAATGATGCAACCAATTTTTTTAGTGATAAAAATCTCCTCCCACACCTCAGCATTTACTTTTATGATTCCAAAGTTGAACATTGTATATTTCCAAATGTATTGCGGCGGCCATTTCACCTGTGATATTTGAAGAATGTAACATGTTTCAATGAATCATGACATTTAAAAAATCAGAAAATTTGATCAGTGTTGATCTGTTTTTTTAAGTTACTGTTTCATGTCAAGCAAAGTAATTATTAAAGTAATATATAGACTACTCTCTACTAGTATCAAACTTGAATCTATTATTTTGTACATTTAATATATTTTCATTTAATGATCCTGGTATGTGGATTAAATAATAATATAACAAGTTAATGTGTGAATTGAACATATATTGAATAAAGTTATTTTTTTTTGGTATTTTTCTTATAAAAATAAAGGAGGAGTGGACAGTATAATTAATTTCTTAATATATGCAGAATATTAACATAATGCCATTGGATACATCAATAAGTATAACGATAGCGATGTTCATAGGAGTAGTAGAATAATGTTGATAAATATAGAAATAGTAATAATAATAATTATTATAATTATAAATATAGTAGCGCTAATGATGTAACTAATGGAGATGATTATGGTGGTAATGATAATTTTAACAAGAATATATTAAAGTTTTATATGGAAAGAGATCAATGGAATGTGACGCCAGTCACATCCATAGAACTATGTCACAGAGTAATATATGTTACTTTGTGGCTATGTATGTAAAAATGAGTATCGTAGTTTCCTTCCTTCTGAGAAATGAATTTGGTAGAAATTATCTTCCTTTCTTCCACTATATAGTTTTACAACATTCCTCCCTGATTATATGTGTGACCGTGCAACGTTAAAATGCACAATGGTTGTAAATATTAATTACAATTATAGTTCGTGAGGGAAAAAAACCTTCATTGTATTTTTATATATTTGATTGCATAGATATTCTTCTTCTTCATCCCTAATTCGTGCAAGTACTTCCAAAATCTGACTGTGAAAAGAGAAAGCAAACAATAATACACAAAACTAAAAACTAGATATTATTAATAGTTAAAATTATAATTAGATTTTCGACAGTTCATTAGTATTTACACTATAGTGCATGGTTCGTTCCTTCCTTTAACCATCCGATCGGGTTGCCACTTTTCTTTTTTAACAGACGGAAAGTTTGTAATTACATCTTTTGCAGAAGCATGAGTTGGTCTTATTTCACACCATGGACAATCAGTTTCTATCATCAACCTGTCCGAAGGAATTGTTGTAACGGAAAAAAGATTTTCCTCTGTTTTAAGAGAACTGCAGAATGTTATGAAAATCAGTTTTATTTTCATAAAAGGTTGCAAGTATATCGAGTAAATAACGTAACTTTATCATCTTAATTGTTTCCGAAATCACTAAATCAATTTGAATTATTTTTTTTCCCCGAAATTTTGATTCAAAGAGGTCTATAAGCCGATTATAATATTTTTGTAGATTAATTTTTTTCGAAGTTTCCATCGCTAGTTTGATTCTTTTTAAATAGAATGATAGTTATTTCATAGCTGAATTTAGTAGTAAAATTCTAGGAATGAAAGTGTTGGAGTATAATTTTTCAAGATATCTAGCTAGTAGGATATAATTTAACCCTGACTGACCATGAATCATGAATCACTGAACGCGTCCTCTTTTGAAAAGAATACTTCCTACAACAGCATTAGTATTATTATTTTGATAGTTGAATATCTCGAAAACTACTAAAACCATGAAAGAAAATTGATCTACAAAAAATGTACTATAATCGTTCTACTGAACCAGAATGTCGAAAAAAAGTTAATTGGTCTAGTAGTAACAAAAATAATTTAGGTGAACAAGTTATATTCACTCTATATACATATAATTTACTTGACATACCATCCATTAATGCCAATGTATAGTCCCATTTGTAATATAGAATTAGCTTCTTCTGGATTGCCATCAAAGGAGTGTACAACACCAGCTGTTAATGTGTCTTTGTGTTTTCTTAAAATTCTTACAAAATCTTCGCTAGCATTACGGCAGTGTAAAAACATTGGTAATTTTAAAGTAGAGCACAGTGATAACTGCATTTCAAAATACTTTTTTTGTACATCCTTTGAACAAAAGTGTAACCTATCATAATCTAGTCCCATTTCACCAATAGCAACGATCTTATCTTTATTATCTGCAGCTAAATCTGATAATGATTTGAGGTATGCTTCTGGATCACCACTTTCTTCAAATTCATTACAACGTGTTGGATGACAACCAATCGTTGAAAATAATCGTTCTGGAATATATCCAATGATCAATATGCAATGAAGTTTGATAGAATGCAAAAAATAATAACATAATATATACCTAGATATTTCCATTGACATGCATTTTTTGTTGTTGCAGTTATAGAACAGAATCACAGCAACCATTGCATCTCTCTTTCAGCGGTTTCTTCATATGCAATGATTGCATTACGATCTAATAAGACATAAATAAACAGTACATTATAATAATAAATTTTTACCCTCGCAGTTGAAAGCCTGCAAGGTTTATAAAACATTAAATGTTCCAAAATCATTGTACCCATTTAGAAAACGTCAATAGCTCTATTTAAAGAAAGAATTTAATAATTATAGACTACAGCTGCCCGTGATAGAGAGACGCGACAGTGACAATGTTTCGTTTGTTGAATTAATTTATATACATGTAATCTAATATTTCCAAATTTTTATATAAAATTATCTTACCATCTGTTCGTGCTATTTCAAGAGCCTTCTTACTCTCCTCTATATTACCGGCAGTAATTATAATTTTCGACAGATTGTTACTCCAACTTCGTTCTAATACTTTATCTAAATCCGGTTGATGTTTCTGCGCTCCATTGTAAATTCCTTGGTACATAGAATCCGACAAATTAGCCCCAATATCTGTATTAAAATTAACAACGGTAGAACGTATCAATCGTCAGTGTATAACCTCTCTCTAAATATTTGAAATCAACAGAAAAAATACGCTGCAGCATGTATAAAAATATCGAACACCGAAATGTTAACACAATTAACGAGGAAAGAGTTTGATTACCTATAAATTTTCGTAAATTACTCATTCTAGCTCCAAGCATTCGACGTATGAACGAAGTGACAGTTTTCAAGCACAGTAACTGTCTGAAAGGTTAGCAGGTGTCTTATTTAGCCGGCGTTGTGCACTGACACATGGGTTTATTGAATACTTGACGTTCCATGAGAATGGAAGTTATGTTTTCGTATTATTTACTATATGTGATAATTTTAAATTAAATTATCGTTTTCGTAATGTATTATCATTTTTATTCAGCTTATTAGATATTTCTATCCGTTTAATTCATATATACATATATATATATATATATATATATATTTAAATGTAACTTATATAATTCGAAAGTATAATTGCTTAAGACAATTAAATGTTATGATAGTGTTTAAATACATGAGAAACGTGTGGTGTATAATTTATACTTCTTTATTACAAATCTTAACTTATTATACAGGAAATGTTATGTTGTAATTTATTGTGAAAAATTGAGTAGGTAATTGTTTAAAATATTTTTATTAAGTCTCCTGCTTCCAAATTCGAAAAATTTCGTTATTGCATAGACTTGACAATAGAATTTATTTTTTCAATACATTCTTCTTTTTTCTTAGCAATGGCAGCTTCTGCTTCTACAAACTGCTGACGTCCAATTTTGCCTGGCACTAATTTGTCTACATAAAGTGCTTGCTGTTGATTATAAAGTTCTTTCAGTGTCCTATCATACTTCTGTAATTCCTGAACTCGATCGTAAACATCTCCAGATTCTCCTTTTAAGCGTTGCGCAATTTCTGCAACAGCGCTTGTTGCACTTTTGTAATCTTGATTAATGCCTTTAACAACTGACAAAAATGCATTGGCATCCTTATTCGATTTCAGATATGCTAACTGATCATCCAATTCATTGTAAGAAGTTACTCGTCTATCTTGAGCAGCTAAGATCTTTTCACATTGTCCAGCAATTCTCAATTTACTCTCTGAAATTTCATCTTTATCTATGGAAAAATCAAGCCTTACATAGGTAATTACTAATAAGAATAATAAGTATAATGCAGCTGCTACAAGTAATGGTTCTTGTAACATCAATATACGTGGAAATGTGTATTTAAGTTTGAAATTCTGAATATGATTTTCAACCAAGTTTTTCTTTGTGACAGCAATTACTGGACGGCCGGTAGTATCTAGATATGTGTAATGAAGAGAATCTGGCAAACGTGTTGCTGAATATGGGAGGATTAGTTCAATGTTCTTTGAACCCTCAGGTAAAATAATTTTTACAAGCAATTCGTCTACAATCATATCGTCAAACACATGATCCAGTAGTCTCATTTCCAAAGTGTACTGATCTCCAGAATGGAATAAATACTCATAGCTGGGTACATTGTATCCAACTATATATCGGGTTTTCCAACCACCAAAAAGTGGAAATCGTGGACGAAGATTCAACTCGACAGAATCTTTTTTAATACGTGTATGAGACGTTGAAATATTACCAATTTCATCCCTGTAATAAATATCAGAAGCAGCTGCTGGTAGAATAGTATCAAAGTTCTGAATACTAGCCTGTCCAGATTTTGATTCTCTCGTATATTCATAGCGTGAAAATGAACCTTTCAATAAAGCACCGGTATGCAATAAATCAATATGTTCTTCTACTGCTATATTTCCCCAATGAGATATTTCAATACTTCTTTCCAACCTAGTAACGGTCAGAAACTTGTTGTTGTTTTCAAAGTGTATGTTCAACTCTTCGTATGAGAAAGGAGGAAGTTTTTCATACAGACCATACGTGATCATTGAATCGCTTTGTAAAACTGGTTTAAACTTGGTATAACTTTCAACGTTGCGTGATGGTAGCGATACAGTGGTTGTTTGTTTCATTATATTGTACGGTGAATAAAGATAAATATTTCCTATATATTTTACTAATTGCTTCTCTTTCTGTGTGATCTCCTTAGGATGAGGTATCAGTTTGTGCGTCAATATTATTTCAATTTCAATAGACATAGTTCTACCAGGAGAAAGCGGATCCTTCAATTCAACTTGATAAAAAGTCTTATCTGGATGCGCGTTTACTTTCGTTTCAGTTAATTTTAGTTCAACTCGTACAGGTTCTCTGTAAGCAGCTATATAGCTGAGACTGTTTTTTTCTTCGGGTTCTAACGCAAAGAGAAAACTTCGTATGTGTCGATCTTTGCTTCCATTTCCCAATACAATTCTAGTTGTAATTTTTGTTAGCTGAGATTGCAAATCGATATGTTTGTCCACATTTTTAAGGTTTAGATCGGGATCAACGATGTCGGTAGCGGCGAGAGACTGGATATGTAAACCGAGTACCAACGAGGTACACCATATTAACGTAATTAATCTACACCGAGTCATATTCTCTCCTGTGAAAATTTCTTTTAATTTATATCACTTTTATCATTTAACCGTTTTAACTAACCGGTGAATGGATTACTGTTGTCGGCATATAATACAGACGTGGCGTTTATCCACGATCACCCATTACAAAGAGACAAGAAACTCGTGTGTCAGTATAGTCACAAAACACTCATGGTGGCTCATGCCCATTCCTGTTACTTTGTTATCCCCTAGAACAGTATTTTTTAAATTGTGGTTTGCGAACCCTTGGAAGAGGAAAAGAAGCATGTTATTTATACCTACATGGAATAAAAAATGCTGCCTTTTGTACTATTTTATTTTTATTAAAAATGTTCATTAGAAGATTTCTTACTGAAAATAGAAAAACCGATTTCATATGAAATGTATTCAAAAAGTTATCAATCACTCGCTTGGTCAGTGTTTGTCAGTCGAATTGTGTCTTTCAGTTATTCTGTCCTATTCTTTATTATATTTTTAAAAAATATAATGATTACATTTTGGCAATGATGTTAATAAAGTCATAAGTAAAGCGTATGAGCACAAGAAGGAAATTATACAGCGTTACAGTATAGTGGCTCATTTGAACCATGGGATATGCCTATCTAGAGAATTTATACACTCAACTCCACACATGCATGATATATTCAATATAAATACACGTACTCATTTACCGAATAACGTGGTTCTGTTTATTTTAAAAAATAATATTAAAGATCATAAGAAAGTTAATAATAAATGCAAGCAGCAATTTGTTCTTGCAGATACACAGCAGTCTAGTTTCGTATTATTTCTGGACAGTTGAATAATTATTACAAATTTTCGTCTTTAGAACAGGTATACATTTTTTGCATCTATTTTGTATAATTATAGTAACAGTATTTGTTTTGTTACAGATTTTTTATGTAGCGCAACAAAATGTTTCTACTTCAAGTGACATCTACTCTAAAAAAATCAATATGTAATTAGTAAGTAATATAAATATATTTGTTATTATATGTCGATCTTGCGCATGGTTTTAATGTATTTGTTGCCTTATAAGTAATAGAAGACACTTTATATTTTAATTTGGCAAGACAATACAAAATATACATGCAAAAAGTATAGTCGCTTAGCGTTTAATGATTAGCTCAATTAGATTGTTCATAGAAGAAACATGTATCAACGCCTGCAGTTATACAACTTGTTTTACGTTAAAGTTACTTTTACTTTCCTTGAAATATAACTCATTTATTGTTTGTAAGAATGGTGGCATGTTGCACAAAAACAGTACAATATATATGTTCATAGTAAAATTGTTTATTGTATTAAATCTAATGAAGAAATGTATGTGTAAAAGTATATAAACTAATGGTAGTTTTATTGGACAGTGTATTATTCCACCAAACGAGTAAGCTATGTAGAACATGTTTCAAAGAAATTTACATACATCCAGGAACGATTCATCGTTCTTATAGCAAAGAAACAGAAAGCCAGTTACAATCCAACATCGTTAATGACGTGAGATATTATAAATATTCATAAATTCGATATAAAAGTGTTATTCTATTTAAGATTAATTAAACTTAATAGAGTATTTTTCTGTTTTACAGTTAAAATTTAATGAGGAACAACAAACAGAAATAAATAATTCAAAAAATGTAGGTATAATAAATTTGATGAGTAGTAATGTATAAAATTAATAGATATAGTATTAATATAAATTAATGTAGCAGGAGTCTAAAACAAGGATTAACAACATATTTACATCTCATGATATAAATTGTAAGTACAATAAAACAATGATAATGATATACATAACATTACATGTTAATTATTTTACATGTAAAATATATGCTATCAGAATATTATGCTCTATAAATATTCTTCTATTATTCATTTTAGATATTGACAAATTGTTTCCAAATCCTGTAGGAAGCCTTACTAATATTTATACTATTGTGAATAATGAATTTAATTTAACAAATTCATTGTCCTACAATTATGAAATACATAAACAAAATTCCTCCAAGAAGCAGATGATTAAATGTACAATTAACATTTTATGGCCTTCGGAAATGTCTTTTACTAGTGTAGGACAAAACAGAAAGGCAGCTGTAACACATGCAGCAAAGACGTGTTTGAATTGGTTGCATGTTAATAAAAAAATTACAACATCGAGACCTATATTATATAGCAAAAAAGAAATTAATGAAAAAATGAATGAACTTGTCACGATAAATCTTGAATCAAACTTAAAAAATGAAATTAAAATTATAACAGACATATTTGACAATGTAAGTTTTATTAGCATTAGAAATGTACTTTTAATACTTTCGATTTCAATTTAACCTGCTATTCATAACAAATATTTCTAGGAAATAAAAGCCATAGTAACAACACAATCTACTGCTAATCCTGAAGAAAGTGTCTCAAAACAGGATAAAATGGGCAATTTTTTTGATTTTAAACGACTATCAAAAGATAATATACTTAAGAAAGAAAGACAATCCAACAGGGTAAATGATAAAGATTTGCCTATTGTTCACTACAAGTATGTAATAAAAATTCACGTATTATTAACTTCTTTAACAAAAAATTCATCCTTTACAAATATCTTTAATTTAATTGTTGGATTTTCCAAAGCAATATTTTGTTCTAATTTTTCAAAAGATAAAATATCGGAAAACTCAACTAGTTTTTGACAAATTAGAATAAAGCATTGTTATTGGTAAATTCACAATGGAACGAAAAGCAGTTTGTTTATTTCTCAAAGAAAAAAGAAACTTAATTTACATAATAAAATACTTTTCAGGAGAAACATTCTTTATGCATTAGAGCATAATCAGGTTCTTTTGATTAAAGGCGATACTGGTTGTGGTAAAAGTACCCAAGTACCACAATTCATAATTGATGAATATATAGTACAAAATAAAGTACATAAGTGTAATATACTCGTGTCAGAACCTCGTAGAATTTCAGCTATATCTTTGGCTAATTATGTTGCTGCTGAACGAAACGAGGATGTAGGCCAAACGATCGGTTATCAAGTACGACTCAAGCATATAATACCAAAGCTATCTGGTTCGATTTTGTTTTGCACAACTGGTATATTGTTACGAAGGATGCAGGCTAACCCTTCTTTGAGAGGAGTGTCGCACATAATTATGGACGAATCTCACGAGAGAACCTTGCAGATTGATATACTGCTTAATTTATTGAAAAAAGTGTTGAAGACTAATCCAGATTTGAAACTTATAATTATGTCTGCAACTATGAATGCAGAATTATTCCAGCAGTACTTTTCCTGCGTAGTCATTGACGTTCCTGGGAAAATGTATCCTGTAAAAATGCATTTTATGGATGATATTGATATCTTCAAAAGGCAATCGTTAAATGCTTTCAATTCGAAGAATATAGAAGTTCCTTTCAAAGAAACAATAGGGCTAATCCGCTGGATTTCCAAAAATAAACCACCTGGAGCTATTTTATGTTTCCTTCCAGGTTGGAAAGAAATTCAGTATGTCTATAACGGATTATACAAAAACTTTCATGATAGTGGTTCGTTAATATTACGACTTCATTCCAAACTGTCGCACAACGAACAGGACGAAATCTTTAATCCTGCTCCTCCAAATGTTCGAAAAATTATTTTAGCTACAGATATTGCCGAAAGTAGTATTACTATTAAAGATGTCAGTTATGTTATAGATACTGTGATTAAGAAGGAAACGTGCTGGAATAACACTAAGTGTTTATATGGTGTAAGCAATGTTTGGATATCACAGGCAAATATTTGTCAAAGGTAACTGTTGTCTTATTCAGGGAGTCGCATTTTAATTTTTCGACGTTATCTACGAGTCTTAAAAATGAACTTACTTGGAAAAAAGTGTACTGATCAAAACATCTCTCTAGAAACATTTTTTTGCAAACCACTAGATTTAGAGAGTGATGTGGACGGATTAAAATGGTACTCCTTGTATACAGTATTCTATGGTATTCTATCTAAAAAAAAAAAAACAAAAATTAACATATTTTTTTATTAACATTTAGAAAAGGAAGAGCTGGACGCGTTAAACCTGGTGAAAGTTACCATTTAATTTCGAAAGAAGCATACAATACATTACAGTTGTTTCCAGTGCCGGAAATAACTAGAACGGCGTTAGAGGGAGCAATTCTTATTAGTAAAATGTATAGCAATGAGAAAGTGCATGATTTCTTTAATAATATGATTGAAGTTCCTAATAAAACATCAGTAAATCAAGCTATACATAGTTTAGAACAACTTGATATTCTTGACGAGAATGAAAATCTCACAGCTTTAGGAAAACGTGTAATATATTTTTCACTGGAACCTAGGCTCAGTAGAGCACTGTTATTTGCTTGTGTATTTCAGTGAGTGGATATATGTTAATTTCAGTCAAGTTATATTACTTGTACTAAGTGATTTTTTTCACATTTTTTAGGTGTCTAAATCCTATTCTATCAATAGTTTCTCTGCATACTACCGATAATGAAATGTCTGCTACTTCGTTAAATGATAAATCTACCATGAGGGAAATGAAACAAAAGCTACACAACTCAAGCGATCATATCGCCATGTTGCAATATTATATGCAAAGCAAGAATTCTTTAAGTCGTAAATTGAATATGACTTTATATATACTATCAAGTAAGTGTATTAAATATTTACGGAATATATGTTAATTCTATCATAGGTTTCCACGTACGTCGAATTGTGTAAATACAATTATTTAAGAGATAATTAAAAATTAATAGGGTTATATGTACTGCTTTAGATGAACAAAACAAAAACTTTATTTAATATGTTATCACTAGACTGCGGATTTTTATGCAAATTCATATATTTATTAATAGAATTGATAAAATAAGAGCTTTCTAGAGGGTTGTTTCAACCCCTAAATACAATAATTCTTATCTTACTTGAAGTATTTGTTATATTTTTGCATATTAAGTGCATGCTATAGTTTTTTGACAATCTAAATTTCCCATAAATGCATAAATATCCGCAGTCTAGTTATCACAAATACGCGCGTGTGTGTACACAATTAATATAAATATACATATCTTGTACGTATACATATACAGGATATAAGTGGGAACACAACTGCGTATCTACGAAACTGTATAAATCCGCCGTATGATGTTTCATTTGATGTTTGAATTATCTATTATTTATTTGTAGAAATATGTGAATTACATTTAACTGAAGCAATAGATAGTGGTATAATTTCATTATCTCAGTCTGACGACATGAATACGAATTCTAAGCATAATGAGTTGATTCGGGCTATTTTATTTTCGGCTTCAAATCAGGTAATAAGGCAATCAAATTATGGATATAAAAATGGACATTTTACAACACATGAAAATACGCTAATATCTCAGTAAGTATAAGTTTTAAAATGTACATTAGTACATTATAGAATGAATAATCGCAATGTATGTATTTTATCTTTCTTCAGAGATAGGAAAAAAATTATTCTTTCAACAGACAGTGTAAATTATAAACGCAAATTATGGCCAAGTCCGTTTTTAACGTACCTTAATAAACTGGAGTACATTCAGCAACATATATGCGTGGTTCCCGATACAAGCATGATTTCACCTTTATCGGTTCTCTTATTTAACCAAAATGATGTTCGATGTTCGAAGGTATATTTCTTGCAATTGAATATCAATAGACAAAAGATTTGAATAATTATTATGTTTTCAGAGGGATCGAAATGATTTTGACAATGAGAATAGTGTTACCATTGAAATGAATAATTTGGAAAATGTACAGTTATGCTGTGACGAAGAGTTAGTAATTTTACATTCATTTTTTCCACGCTAAATTTGTGTAACATTTAATTCACATACAGACTCTTTTCCAGGACTGCAAACTTATTATTGAAGTTTCGAGATATTTTGTGGAATACTGTAAATTACATAATTCAATATGAGGGCGACGAGAAACAAACAGAAAATTTAAACACGGTTAAATCCTACAGAAGTAAATTGATGTCTGTACTAGTAAATTTATTAAGGGAATCGTCGAAAAATATAGACGCTTCCGAGGTATTATATAATTCAGTTAAATCAGAGACCAAAAATTTTTAATTGTAATGTATTGTTAGATATGTATTATAAATATAACTGTATTTAATATTGATAATCTTTTTAATTTTTAAACCATTATCAAATTTGTTCCTTATCGAAATACAGGCCTCGCGAGACATCGGAGCTTCTCCCACCTTGCTACCTAATTCGCGAGCGTCGCTGCGCACAGCGAGAGGTCCTCATTCGTCCTCTGAAAATTGAAGTAGTTAGACGTGTCGAGACGTACCGGCGTTTCGCGACCAACGTGGTGTATATTTCTAACCTGTTGCTATTTCGTTATTATTACTCCTCATGTTTACTTTCTATCGATGCTTTCGCACAATATTAATACATTTTTTATTATACATTCAATCGACATCGTGATAAATATTGAATTGGTTTCGTACTTCTTCTCCGATAGTCGACCGGTGTTAATTATTAACGTGTCCCTCTGAATTTAATTACTATCTCTTGCAATACAGTTTGAATTTAATTCTTACTCGATTCTAATAATCGTTCGTGCATTTTTAATTTGTTTCTTTTGCAGTCTTTTATTGGAATTCATCGAAATAGAAGCTTCGCGAGACAGCGAAGCCCCCCTCCCCTCTCCACCCGAATTCACGAAACGTGTTCAGACATGTCTAGACATGTCAAGACGTGTCGGCGTTTCGCGACCAACGAAGTACGTATTTCTGATCTTTTGATATTTCCTCATTATTAACAATTATTGTTTAATTATGATATATTTGATTTTAATTCTGTTGCAGTTTCCGATTGGAATTCGACGCCATGGAATGTTTTATTGGCGCGTAAACGACACCGCGATAGATGGCAATCAACTCGACAAACTTCGAAGGGATTATTGGTAAGTTTAAAATACTATAACCAAAATCGACATACATATTGATATTTCTATGTATATTTTTATCTAGTTATTGAGTTATTCGAGCATGATACACAATTTTATAAATATTAAAATCGTTAAAGAACTTTTTCAAAGTATGTACAAATGGCGTCGGTAATGGGACAATATTTTCGACGAAATTAAAAAATTTCAAATCATTCCGGAAAAATTATTTTCGGTTCCGGGGGTCGATTAGAATCATTTTTGGCGTATAGACATAACCCCGAAATCCTACAAATTTTCGAGAAAAAAATTCTTTGCTAGAACAATTTGAATGGAAGGTCGACACGTATACTTCGTATGAACTATGCGACTGAAACGCTAGATGGCGCCACTAGACGGTTTTATTAAAGTGCATCCCCCATTCGCGTCACCAGAGTACAGCAGTCTGTCTTTTTTGCAACTTTTCGCTCTTTTTTCGAGTACATATATCAGATTCGCCACTTTCCCTGTAAAATATATAGATCTCTGCAGAATTCCTAGGACTCATTGAATATTAGTAGTACTTTCTTAGAAGCTACCATACATTTTAATTGCTATCTAAAAATTCAAATGGAATAAAATTGGCCTAATTGGGATGACGAAGTAGACTCATTTCCCCACCACGATATTTCCTTATCCATGTTGGATCTGTGATATCCATTTCAGAATCTTCTCAGGAAGAAGAAGATCTATAAAAGGTTGGTATTCTAATATTGGTTAGGTGATTCTACTAGGTTTGTTCCTCGGTTAACAGGAGTATAGAATGGTAGTGGAGATATGAGAGAAACAGGACAGCTTAGAAACTTCCATCATACGATCCTATTGGATTTGCTTTGTTCATTACAGGAATATAGAATAACTACAGAGTCTTGGGAAGGAGGAAAGTATATGTGTAACTTAAATAAATATATAGCTTACTATGTTCGTGAAAAACTTAAACATTGAAACTTTTTTTTTATTTAATTTTTATTGTTGCATCAACCCATTAGGGTCATTAGCAACCATGATATCTTACAAACGATCGACATAGGAGTAGGTTAAATTAAATCAAAAATTTTATAAGCTTGATATAGAAACAGAGATTAAGTTAAATTAAATAAAATACTTTTATATGTTTAAGAAATTTTAGTACTCTTGAGCAAGAATCTGCAGTCAATTTTATTAATTTGTTTAATATTAAAGGTTTTAAAGAAGCAAAATTTGTGAATGCAGGGTAGAAAATGAGTTCACTAATTTTTTAACAAGATCATCCTATTGGGTCTAGATTTTTCATAACAGGAGCACAGAACTATAACTGTGTTTCTGATAGATAAGCATAGCAAATGATACAGATAATTTTGTATGACGTTATTATTGGACATATTGTTTAACAATTTATTATTTATTTATTATAATATAATCATCAGCTCGTGCATATTTACATATAATATTATAAAGCACAGTAGAATACAACTGCTTCGAGTAACACAGATATTACCTATGAATTTTTATCGCCTGTCGAGATTCGTTTACCGTAACAGCTTTTGGTTCCGATCAATCTTCGTCGTGGCTCCTATTGGCTTCGATCTGTCCTCGTCGTGGTATTTCTCAGCAACAATTCGTCTTTGTCAAAATTAAGAAGTATTACACCTGTGCATAATAGTCGCGTATATGAAACTAGCTGAAAGATACATCATTGCCGGAAGAACACTTTCGAGAAAACAACATATTAAATGGCGTGAAAAATAGAGAAGAGCGAGAAATTTATTTGTGGAACGTTTTAGCGCATAAAAATGTTAATCTAGCAGACAGGATTAATCAGAAAAGAAACGATATAGTACCGGTATTCTCGAAAAAGTTAGGATTACTCAAAAAGTAATGTTATTTTCGTAACAGCATTAGAAGGACTTGTAATATTACATTTATACAGGGTGTTCGGCCACCCTTGGGAAAAATTTTAATGGGAGATTCTTGGGACCAAAATAAGATGAAAATCAAGAATACCAATTTCTTGAATGAGGCTTCGTTAAAAAGTTATTAAAAAATTTAATGAAAAAATTTCAAACCAATCCGAAAAAATTATTTTCGGTTCCAGGGGTCAATTACAATCATTTTTTGTGAATAGACATACCCCCGAAATCCTATCCACTTTCGAGAAAAAAATTCGAGAAGGTGCCTACATTTTTCTACGAAATTGAAAAGTTTCAAAGCGTCCTGGAAAAATTATTTTCGGTTCCGGGGGTCAATTACAATAATTTTTGGTGAATAGACATACCCCCGAAATCCTATCCACTTTCGAGAAAAAAATTCGAGAAGGTGCCTAAATTTTTCGACGAAATTGAAAAGTTTCAAATCGTTCCGAAAAAATTATTTTCGGTTCCAGGGGTCAATTACAATCATTTTTGATGAATAGACATACCCCCGAAATCCTATCGACTTTCGGGGGAAAAATTCGAGAAGGTGCTTAAATTTTTCGACGAAATTGAAAAGTTTCAAATCAATCCGAAAAAATTATTTTCGGCTCCAGGGGTCAATTACAATCATTTTCGGTGAATAGACATACCCCCGAAATCCTATCGACTTTCGAGAAAAAAATTCGAGAAGGTGACTAAATTTTTCGACGAAATTGAAAAGTTTGAAATCGTGCCGAAAAAATTATTTTCGGCTCCAGGGGTCAATTACAATTATTTTTGGTGAATAGACATACCTCCGAAATCCTGCGCATTTTCGAGAAAAAAATTCAGTACGGGCGGAACTTAAAACGTTAATAAATTGTTAACGAAGCCATCTCCCATTATAATTTTTTCCAGGGTTGGCCGAATATGTATAAGGCATTACATTCTAGTAGCTGTAACGTGTCAGTCTTCAGGTTGTAGCAAGTTTATTTCACGCGTGACGTAATTAATCCATCTCATTACGCGTTCGTATATGGGGCACGGTTGTCTACACGGTTTGTTCAAGGAAATCTATGCATTAAAGATGAACAGGTGAGAATACTTACCCAATTTTTCACGAACGAAGTCGCGGCGCCTCTTGCATAAAAGATTTAAATTCATACGAAACGACACAGTTCTTTCGCTCTATTATCGCGGCAAAGTCTAACTTGTGCGATGAAATTTGATTTTTCTTACGTTACAAAGTCCTATATAATTTTACATTTATTTCATACCGTTTCGAGTAGCTATTGCAAGAAGGTCTATTTTAAAATCGATGGTCGAAGAATAGTTTTCGGTTTAGGAGAGTTTCTAAAATCTGGAAGAACCGTTAGCAGTTTGTAAACAGCATAACTCGCGTGTTTGCAAATATCTGAACTTTAACTTCAGAAATACTATACCGTGCAAGTACGGACATCGGTGTACTAAGTGCACCGGACCTGTTTAGATTGCAAACACTGACGTTACACCAGGATCCTTAATATCTCCGCAAACTGCGCTCTCAGCAACGCGTATACATATTACACGAAACATCGGCACCTAACAATGAGGAAATAGGCAACCTACGCGCACGTGAAATTAAACGAAACATCGAGCAATATAATAATTCTTTTAGTAGAAAAGTAAATATTGTTTCCTCCGCTGCTGTTAAATATAATTTGCATAGTATGTCATACGAGACAGGTAACGTGAACATAAAAACTTAAAAAAATTCAAAAACCGTACGTAATGTTTACCTACTCTATAATAAATTTCATCACTGGATTAATGGGAATCTCGTGAAATATAACTCAGAATAAAAATGTTAAATTATCTAAAGATTAAGCCCCCTTCGAAAGAACAATTAAATCTCCACGTTAAAGCAAATGTGTTTTAATATGAGGTATAAGTGTTTATAATTAATTAGAAGTTTTTGGAGAAGGAAGTAAAATGTGTTCGATAGGGTGTTAATATTTTTCATGAGGTATAGTGGTTGAAGAAAATTGTTGAAAATTTGAAAGTCAGTCGAGGGTAAATGGTTAAAGAACGTCGAGTTCTGAAGGCTTGGGGTTAAAGCGGATCTATGGGAAACGTACGCGACCATATTTACAGCTTTATAAATCTGCGGTGACTCATAGCGAATCCCTTTTCTTCCTGCGGTTTTCTCATCGAGAGAACTCCGGGAACGTTTTCTTGGCATTTCCTCGCGAAGGGTGCGCCGTGTCTCGCACGTGATCGAACAC